TAATATCCAGAGTCTTAGCTGGGGTCATGATTTTGGATTTCTGGGATTTTCGTTAGTGTCAAGATTCTCACTAGCCCCATAATGACTCCCTCAATCAAGATATCTCTTTCCTTTCTCTCTCTGTCCTTCTTGTATCTCAACTATCCTGTTCCCTCATGTTATCCTCCACACACCCCTTTTACCCTCCCTTTCCTCCTTCTGCTTTCCCTTCTCCCCAAAGCATGCTCCCATTTTTTTTTTCAGGAGACCTTATCTATTTTCTCTTCACAGGGGGAACAAGGTATGTCTCTCTCAGTGTTCTTGTTACCTAGTTTCTCTGGGGTTATGGACTATAGGCTGATTATCCTTTGCCTTACATCTAATATCCACTTATAAGTGAGTACATGCTGTGTTTGTCTTTTTGAGACTATGTTACTTCAAATTGGGATGGGTTTTTCTAATTACATCTATTTGCCTGAAAATTTTATGATGTCATTGTTTTTTTGTTTTTTGTTTTTTTTTTTTTTGTTTTTTTTTTTTTTTTTTTTTGGTGAGTAGTACTCCATTGTGTAAATGTATCACATTTTCTTTATCCATTCTTTGGTTGAGGGGAATCTAGGTCATTTTCAGATTCCGGCTATTGTGAATAATACTGCTTTGAACACAGTTGAGCAAATGTCCTTATGGTATGAGTGTTTACTCTTTGGGTATATGCCTATGAGTGGTATTGCTCGGTCATGAGGTAGACTGAGTCCAAATTTTCTGAGAAACTGCCATACTGATTTTCAAGTTTGCACTCCCACTAGCAATAGAAGTATTCCCCTTATTCAACATCCTCTCCAGTAAAAGCAGTCATCAGAGATTTTGATGTTGGCCATTCCGACAGGTGTTGGAGTGTATCTCAGAGTTAAAACAACTATCTAATGACTAAGGATATTTATCAATTAGTTAAGTGTCTTTTGGCCATTTGAGATTCTGCTGTTGAGAGGTTTCTGTTTGGATCTGGACCTCATTTTTTAATTGTATTATTTGGTATTTTACTGTCTAGTTTCTTGACTTCTTTATATATTTTCAAGAGCAGTCCTTTGTTAGGGGTAGGGTTGGTGAAGATCTTTTTCCATTCTGTGGGCTCTCATTTTGTCTTATTGACTGTATTCTGTGCTTTACAGAAGCTTCTCAGTTTTAGGAGATTCCATTTATTAATTGTTTCTCTGAGTCTGTGCTACTGGTGTTATATATAGGAAGTGGTCCCTTATGTCTATGCCCTCAAGGCTACTTCCTATTTTCTCTTGTATCAGGTTCAGTGTAATTATGTCTTTGATCCATTTGGACTTAAGTTTTGTGCATAGGGATACATATGGATCCATTTGCATTTTTCTACATGTTGACCTCCACTTATGCCAGCACCATTTGTTGAAGATGCTTTTTCTTTTCCATTGTACAATTTTGGCTTCTTTGTTAAAAATCAGGTGTTCATGGGTGTGTAGACTAATATCAGGGTCTTCAATTTGATTCCATTGGTCCATCTATCTGCTTTTATGCCAATATTAAGCTGTTTTTATTACTGTATCTTTATAGTAGAGCTTGAAGTCAGGATTGGTGATGCCTCCAGAAGTTCATTTATTATACAGAATTGTTTTTAGCTATTCTGGGTTCTATGTTTTTTCATGTGAAGTGGGTATTGTTCCTTTGATGTCTGTAAAGAGTTGTGTTGGGATTTTGATGGGGAGTTCATTGAATCTGTAGACTGCTTTTGGTAAGATTACCATTTTTACTATGTTGATTCTACCCATCCAAGAGCATGGTAGATCATTTTCTGATAACTTCTTTAATTTCTTTCTTCAAAGACTTAAAGTACTTGCCATACAGGTATTTCACTTGTTTGGAGTTACCCCAAGATATTTTATGTTATTTATGGTTATTGTAAAGGGTGATGTTTCTCTGATTTCTTTATCAACCCATTTATGATTTGTATATAGGAGGGTTACTGATTTTTTTTTTTTTTGAGTCAATCGTATACAACATATTTTGAACTTAACCATTTCCTACTACCTTCTTCTAATTCCCTGGGGGGAAACCCTCCTGTTTATCTCATGACACTTTTAAAGTTAAAGTTTAAAGGCTCTTGAGTCAAATTAGTGCTGAATGAGTGTGTGGCCATCCACTGGGACATGGGAGACCTACCAGTGTCCACATTTCCAAACAGAAACTATTTCTTTCACTTAGCAGCTTTTAACTGCCAATAGCTCATCAGTCAGGAGTGGGCCCCAAGAGACCATTATCCCATCCATGTTAAAATTTTAAAATATTTAAAACTTTTCAAATTCACAGCTGTGATTCCCATGGGGGAAAATAGAGTTTAGTAAATAAAGCCTGAAAAAAAGTATGAGCTTTCTATGCAGTTCAGTGGGACAAGAGAATGAAATAAACAGAAAAGGGCAAAGGGAAATAACTTACACACACACATACCTTGTCATTGATCATAAATGCAAGTTTAAAATAATCTTCAGATTAATAGTAGTAGTAGCAAATACTAGACCTAATATGTTAGAACACTAAATTCATAACATGTAGGGCTAATTGTATAATAATGAGTAGATAATAAATGTTTTAACTCTTATAATTTATTCACAATATCACCCAAAGAATTAAATAAGTATAAATAAAATATAAAATTAGGAGACCCTATGCCTAAACAGAGGCCACACACTGACTGCTAGAATGCAGGCAGGCTGCCTGCCTACAGACCCCCTACTAACACCACAGGCTCACACACTGATAGTGGGAGACTTTAACATTCCACTTTTACCAAAGAAGGACAGGTCATACAATCAAAACCTAACCAGGGAAAAATACTGGAGCTAACAGATGTTATAAACTAAATGGATCAGATGTCTACAGAACATTTACCTAAACTCAAAAGAATATTCCTTCTCAGCACCACACAGAACCTTCTCCAAAACTGATCACATACTTGGTCACAAAGCAAGTCTCAACAGATTCAAGAAAATGAAATAACCTCCTGCATCCTACCAGACCACCATGGATTTCATCAACACAGAAACAAAAAAGTCTACAACCTTATGGAAACTATCTCTTATGAACAACTCTCTACTAAATGAAAACTGCATCGAGACACAAATAAAGAATCTCTAGAATTCAATAAAAATGAGTGCACAACATAGACAAACTTAAGGGATACAATGAAAATTGTGGTAAGAGGAAAGTTCATCGCATTAAGTGCCTACATTTTAAAAAACTGGGAGAGATTAGTGAACAGTACACCTGAAACCTTTCAAATAAAAAGAAACAAGCAAATCCAAGAGGAATGTATGGGAGCAAAAAAATCAAACTGAGGGCTAAAATCAATAAAATAGAAACAAAGAGAATAATAGAAAGACTCAATGAAATGGAGAGTTGTATCTTTGAGAACATCTACAAGACAGAAAATTCTTTATCCAAATGAACCAAAAGATATAGAGAGAATATCCAAATTAACAAAATTAGAAATGAAACGGGGGACATAAAAACAGATACCAAGGAAACCCAAACAATCATTAAAAACCTGTACTCCACAAAATTGAAAAATCCAAAAGAAATGTATAATTTTTTCCATAGATACCATTTACCAAAGTTAAATCAAGATTAGATAAACAATTTAAATAGACATATAGTAACACCTAATGAAATAAAAAGTTATTGTAAGTCTCCCAACCAAAAAGAAGGAGAAGGAGAAAGAGAAGAAGGAAGTAAGAAAAGGAGAAAGAAAAAAAGAAAAGTCCAGAGTGAATGGTTTTTAGCACAGAATTCTACCAGAATTTCAAAGAAGAGCTAATGCCAATACTCCTCAAAGTATAAACAGAAAGAACATTGCCAAGTACATTTTATGAGGCCACAGTCACCCTAATATCCAAACCACACAAAGATTCAAAGGAAACAGAATTATATACTTATTTTCTTTATGAGTATAGATGCATAAATACTTTTTAAAATACAAAACAAATCTAAGAACACAACAAGAAGATCATCCACCATGCCCAAGTAGACTTCATCCCAGAGATATATGGGCCATTCTACATATGAAAACTAATCTATGTAATCCATCATATGAACAAACTGACAGAAAAAAAAATCACATTATCATTTCATTAGATGCCCCCCGCAAAAAAAAAAAAAAAAAAAACTTTGAAAAAAATCCTATACCTCTTAATAATAAAAGTTTTGAAAATATACTTTAAAATAATAGAGGCAATTTATAGCAAGCTTGTAGCCAATGTCAAATTAAATGGAAAGAAACTCAAAGCAAGCCCAGTAAGATTAGGAACAAGACAAGGTTGTCCATAGTCTCCATATACATTCAATATAGTACTTGAAGTTCTAGCTAGAGCAGTAGACAAATGAAAAAGATCAAGGGGATATAAGTTGAAAATGAAGAAGTCAAAATATTACTATTCACAGGTGATGTGATAGTATATATAAGTGACCCCAAAAATTCTTCCAGGAAACTCCTACAGCTGATATATACCTTTAGTAGCATAGTGGCTGCATATGACTACAAAATCATATGACCTAAAAAGATATGAGGAAAAGCTTGTGTATATCCAGGTCCTACTGCTTAGCATTGCTATGGTCTGAATGTTTGTGCCTCTCCAAGGGTCCTATATTGGAGGTCTCATCAATATGATAGGTAATAGAAGGAGCTGAAGTCCCTTGGAAGGCGATTGTGTCATTTTTTTCACATGTTATGGATATTCAGATGTCTTCATAGGTTAAGCTCCAGAGAGCAAGCCTACTACTTTCATCCCAAAAAGGCACAACTAGAAGGTGTACCTAACAGGTAGAAAGCAGAGTTCCATAGGATAAGAAACATACCAGTGTCTTGAGCATAGACTTCTGTGGGAGAAATAAATTCCTGATGTTATGAGCCTGTGAGTCCTAATTTTTAGAGGCCTTCTGGACATGCTGTATAAAGTATTTTCCCTCTCCTGACTTGCTATTGTCTCTGCTATTTTTCATCTAAGGTATCAGAAGAGATGTTCTATTTACAGGGTTCTCAGATGCTTCAGCTTCTGGAAAACTCCCTGAGGAAGCACCTCCCTGAGTCCTTAAAGGTGAGAGTAGAACATTCTCAGAGTAACTGTGGACCACACCTTGCTATGGCAGAGGAGGGACAGAGATGAAGACACATAGCACTGACACCATGGCTTTTCTCTCACATATGCTTATCCTACCAGAGTAGAAAGATGTCTCAATAACGTCACTTACCCAATATTTTAAAAAGCAAGTTACTGCTCCCTACTGACTAAACACATGTCACTGTTTACTTGCAAAGGATACTTCACAATTTTTGTGAGACCCTATCACAAAATGAAAGCTTGAAAGAAAATTGGAGATATAGGTCCATAATAGTGTTTGCCTAGCTGATGCAAGGTCCTAGTTTTAACTGCCAAAAGGGGAAAAAAAAAAGAATTTTCCTAACTCTTAAATAACTAATCACTATTTACTTGAAATCATGTTAGATATCAAGTAATATGGAATCTTATCTTATTTAAATTTTGCTTTAGTTGTGTTCATGAGGTGGCTCTATCAGGGAAAATTTTTTTTTAAACTATAAAATAAATTAGAATGCGGATCATCATATGCCTTTTGTAGCATATATTTTTTCAATGAAGCAAGACTTAATGTACAAGAATTTCCAGTTCTCTTTTTAAGTATCACATAACTCACTACATAATTTTCTGTGAACTAGGATTTGACCTATAACATTTTCTCAGAAGAGATGAAGTAAAGTTATCTGTCATAAAATATACAAGTGACACAGAAGCCAAATTTTAATAAATTGGCATTGGACTCACTGTATAATCCCAGGCAGCCCTTGAATTTTCAGCCTTACTGCCTCATCATCCCTATTAGCTGAGATATCAGTTATGTATCACTAAGCCTGACTAAATCTTAACTTAGAGGAGAAACAACAGTCCGCACACATCAACAGCCAGACGACATAGACCTAAGAATGGCGTAGTGTGGATCTTAAAACAACAATCACCAAAATGCTTTAAGGAGTAGTATGGAAAACATTTGCAATGAGTGGAAAACATTTCTGGAATGTCTTTGCTTCATAAAATTTGTTCTGTGCATGAAAAAAAAGAAATCCATGAAAACATTCTATTAGATTTTACAGCAGGGAAATTCATGAGTTTACTCATAGATTGCATCATTCTTTATATTTTGTTTCTTTAATGTTGTTGGAATAAGCAACTAGATCCTAAAAACCATTTGAAAGATTCATCTATTACATCTTTCTAACAAAAAATGTAATTTCATAGTAATTGTTCTTGTTCTAGTCAAATATATTATTTCCATATAGAGAAAACTCTATATAGAGTTTTCTAACTCTTTGTAATGTGGTGACATTCCTACTGTGTTGAAATATTTAGGCTTATGGGACTGTCTTCCACATGAATCGGGGAAACCCATTCAAGGTCAAGGCTCTGGTGGACAAGTGGCCTGATTTTAATACTGTTGTTATTCGACCCGAGGAGCAGGTAAGTTGCAATATAAAATAAGTATGTCTGTATCTCCACATTTCTCACATTCCTAGCATGTGTCTGGCTATATGGTAGATGCCACAGCCTACTCATATCCTGAGAAATAGTAATAGAAGTGAAGTGTAATATTGTCAACCAATACCTTGCCTGAAGAATAACACAGAAAAGTTCACAAAATTATATAATGCTATAAAATGAACAAGAAGGGAACTACACAAAGATATAGTAATAACCCAAGGAGAATGTTAACTAAAGGTGCAGACCGTACACTTTCACCCTCATCTTTGCTTTTGTTTTGCTTGGCAGCACTGGCTGATTTGAACAGCAAGCATAATTTATCACTTCATTATTTCTTACACCTTGTTTGTTGGATTTAGAGACAGCTGATGGAAAGTAACATCAACTTAAGATCATGTGGAGACAAAAAAGAATAGTTTGATCTTTTATTGTCAACATTAAAACATTTCCTGGGGGCTGGAGAGATGGCTCAGTGGTTAAGAGCACTTGCTGCTCTTGCAGAGAAGCAGAGAATCAGGATTTGGTTCCAGGCACCCATGTGGTGGCTGTCAACTGTCAGTAACTCCAGTTATATGGAATCTGACATCCTCTTCTGGTGTCTGAAGGCATGCCCATAAAATAAAAATAAGTAAGTCTTTATAGAAAAGGATATTTCCTAAGCTATGTTTGTGTATTGTAACAAGGTAGTTCTATTGTCAACTATTATCCTAGGGTAAAACAAATTTCCAGTTCATCTCACTCGGTTACAACTACTCATTGTAATGTTGGCTTCCCATTGAGATGTGCTCTGCCTCTATATCAGCTATCTCCAACAAAGTCAATAAAAGAAGGTAGAAAAGGGGATGGCTACAGGTGGTTAATGTTACAAGGAAAGAATCAAGAGTTTGGTCGTGATTCCAAGTGGAAAATTTTTGCTAATGTGAATGTTGAAGATGACTTAAATATTTTATAAGGCATAGCAAGAGAATCAGTAGTTTGATCTACAGTATCATTATACAGTATACAAAATATTACATAATATTTCATTAAAATTAGAGGAATAAAAGTATTCAGTGGAAGTCTATTTCTGTGATATGTTCTTTGATATTTAAGTAGTCCCATTATGGGTTTGTAAACTTGTTCAGAGTGCGCGCGCACACACACACACACACACACACACACTCATTGTTTGTTTCAGGAGTTCGTCACTTACTTAATAATAGTGATTTTTGAAGGACTGTCCTACTCATTAGCTTTATCATTGGTTTCCTATGTGTACATGTATATTCTAATTCTGTTTTCATTATAGACTTTAATACCAGAGTATCATAGCCCAGAGCAAGGGGTAATCCTTTAGCTAAATATTTTGCTTTGAGTTTGTTATTTTGATTCTTCTAAATGAATTTTGTAACACTGTACTTTCCCTTGAACTGGGATAATATTTTTCAGGGTGCTTTTACTTTGAATTGAGTCAAGCCTTTTTATCTTGATTTTACATTGTAAATAATTACAACATAAATGCACAGGAAGCATTACTGTTGATGTTTTCAAATCTCACAATGTAACTGGGTACCAATATAACCAAACACCACACCACCCACAAACATTTTTGTGTATTCTTTTTTCTAAAACAGGACATGGTAGATGACCTTGACCACTACATCAACACTTATATAATATACTCCAAGGATCCCATGAACTGCCAGAAGTTCCTTGGTTCATCAGAAGTCATTAACTGGAAACAACATTTACAGATTCAAAGTAAGAGAACCTGGGTATGTGGAGGCTATTGTTACCTCCTGTGTACACTTGGTGGAAGTCACTATTCCTTTTGAACAGGTACTTTACATGCCACACAAATTTTTGCACCACCTCCAAATGGAACTCTTAAGAGCTTTAGTGTTGCCAGGCAGTGGTGGTGCACTCCAGAGGCAGAGCCAGGAGGATCTTTGTGAGTTCGAGGCCAGCCTGGTCTACAGATTAAGTGCCAGGACATCCAGAGATACACAGAGAAACCCTGTCTGGTAAGAGCTGCAGTGTTTAAGGTTCACAAAGGAAATTTCTTACCACCTCTTGAGATTTATTTTTTAGTATGCCCATATTTTATTTAGGAACATAAATATGAGAGCAATGTATCTTACCATTCCATCTATGTTTTATTACATTGTCACATTTTCAAAAGAATGTTTTGGTAAACAAGACTGTCTTCTGGAGTTACATGATCTAAGACTGAAACCTGGCTGAGCCAGTTATTAGCTGTGTAGTAAAAGCTAGGTCACTTCTGCCATGGAGACCAAAGTTTTTGTGAGGAAAACATGATTATAATACTTTTCAAAACATAGAGTCCTTAAGTATTAAATGAGACATTTAATGGAAACTTCTTAGGAATCACCTATCTAGTTGTGTAGAATTTCAAATTTCCTCAATATCGATCCAAAATGACAATTATTTTAGCTTACAATTGTATGTGTAGGAAATTTGGATTGGGCTCAGCTAGGTGGCTCTGCTGGTCTCACCTAGATTCATACATATGGACTCAGTCACCTGGAGGGTTATTTGTGGGCTAGCAGGAATAGGCTCATCATGATCCCAAGCCTGGTATTTCATAACACTGTGCCAACTCTGAATTTCAGGGATGGAAATTGATTGGGTGACATGTGAATGTCACAGGATCAGGAACAGAAAGTGAAAGTCAACTTCAGTGCACTCTTTGAATCATGTTTACTAGATCACCCTCTTCCCACGAGTCTCAACAAGGTTTATGAGGGAACCAAAGTCAAGACATGGTGAAGGAAGTCATATCAGTGTAATTGAAAGGAACTGAGAACTGTATAGTAACATTTTAATGGATCGAATACATAGACTTTGTCCATTCAATGTCAGTTACCTTGCTTCTAACTCGTCTTCTTTGGTAGCTATAACTGGACTCTTAAGTATTCAGGGTTTGTGACACCATCTGTTGTTCTTTTGCTGCAGCTAATGCCTAAGAAACACAAACATGAGACTCAGCACTCACGTGGAGTTTATTGAGAGAAGGGAGAGAAAGAGGGGGTAGCTGGTGGCCAACCGAAAGCAGGAGAGAGAGAGAGATAGAGAGAGAGCAGGGGGGCAAGAGAGGAACCAGAGAGAGAGCAAAGAGAGAAAGAGAGGAAACAGAGAGTGACCAGAGAGAGAAGCCAGAGAGAGAGAGAGAGAGAGAGAGAGAGAGAGAGAGAGAGAGAGAGAGGTGGGACACTTGCTTTAAAAGAGGCTTGCGCATGCGTAACTGGCCGCCAGGTAAAGCTGTTGTAGGGATTGACATGGCCATGAGCATCCCGCCCATCGTCGGGGCGGGGGTCAGCTGGCTGCTAGTTCCTAACACCATCCAAAACTTAGGTTTTAAAAAAACATGGAAGGGATATCATCTCTATCATATTAAGCCTGTCCATTATTTAATACAAGACTTGATGATTCTATGTTCATATTCCCTTTGGTTCCACTGGACAGCCTTTCCTGAAAGTTAAGATGAATAACGGTATGTCATTTGTTTCCTCATTTTCTCCATCGAGGTTCACAGTCAAGCCTGGACAAAGTGATAGAACATCTTGGAGCCATTAATTTGGGCAAGGTCAAGCATACGCAATGCTTTCTCTACATGATATTTGACACAGCAAAGAAACTGCTTCCTTCTTTGGTGGATACCAAGAACTTAGTACACAGCAGTGACAAGCCCAAGCCCATGTAAGTGTTTCAGAAGCAGTTCTGCACCATTAATTCTCTTAGTAGTGACATATTTCCTGTGTTAGATTTCCAAGGTGATCATTAAATGTCACCTTAAAACATGGGGCTAGTTGGCCAGTAGTGGTGCATGCCTTTAATTCCAGCCCTTGGGAGGCAGAGGCAGGCAGATCTCTGTGAGTTCAAGGCCAGCTACAAAAGCTAGTTACATACAGAAAATCTTCCAAAGCCACAAGGAACCCCTGTCTTGAATTCCCCCCAAAACAAAACAAACAAACAAAAAACACTGGGCTAAAATCAAAGCACATGTGATCTATCATTGATTTGGAGTCTAGGTAAAAGACTTGACTTGAGCAGGGCTATGTTACATTGGAATCCACAGAACAGAATTTCTTCTGATCTCCCCTAACACCCACTGCCATTCCAGGACTACCTTGGCTTTGGGACACATTGACTCACTCACAAAAACACTTTCACATGGCCTTCTTTATCATCTGTGTCTTTTCCATTTGTTGTGAGGACACTTATCAACAGATGTGGGATCCACTGAATGATTGGGATAAGTTTATACTGAAGTCCTAAACTTGTTTACGCAAAGATTCCTTTTCTAAGCAAAATTATCTGCATAAAGGGCTGGCAAGATGGCTCAGCAGCTAAAGGTGCTAGCTGGCAAGTCTGATTACCTGAATTAAACCCTGGGACCTACCTGATGAAGAAGATGGCCAACTCCAAAAAGTTGTTCTCTGATTTTCACACAGGACTATGCACCATCCAAATAAATAAACAAGTGAATAAATAAATAAATGCAATTAAAATTTTAATTGCTTATACAATTTGAATGTGGGTTACGGTTTAACCTGCCATGCCCTCTGCTAGTTTTTGCCCTGGTAACTATATAACAAATATTCTGCAGAGTAGCTATCTAGTCACAATAAAATTTAAGTTAAGACCATGTCTCTCTCCTGCTTTCAGAATTAATTTCAGGGCTTCCTGACATACTTTTAAATATTTCTGAACTTCTCAGCCTTCTAAGAGGAATTTTCATCTACCTCTCAGACCTTATATTTTATCTTGTTTATTCACTCCGAAGCTTCTAGCCTTTGTTAAAAAAAATTACAAGTTCATATTAAAAGCATGAACTGTCTTGTAAACATGAGTCTAAAATCAGAGGTTGAGTTATTCTTTCAAATGAAGTGCTCTAATGGAGGTAATCTAAAGAGGATGAGGTTGATTTAATAGATTGAGAAAAGCTAAAATAACACAAACAAAACATTGTTATTTCAATGTTATTTCTTATGTAAAATAAGAAAGAAAGGTAACATTAGAATTTGATATATTGGTTAACTTCAGGTTACTTCAAGTTAATAATTTTGGTAAGGATTAAAGCAAAGAGAACCTCATTCGTATTTTTATCTGTCTATTTTGCTAGATTGCTTTCTCTTTCTCCCTCTGCCTCTCAGAAAGTCAATTAACAATCTACTATTGGTTTAGTGACATAAAATATCTATTCGAATAATTTCATGCTGTTTTTAGTGTTGAAACTTAATGCAGAAGTTAATGTACAGTGATGTTATGCCATAACTTTACTACCATTTCTACTTGACCTTCATGAGATCAGACTTCTAATATTATCTCCTCTCTGTCAATGTGTCTCTCTTCTATGCAGACCAATCTTTTCACTAATTTTGTTGTTTTCTAGATCTGTTCACAAATTACCTCAGCAGAGTCCTAGAGGAAAAATCACCCTTGCACAGGACTCGGGTTTATTTTACTCAGAGTACTTCTGAGTATTTGAAACTAGGTAATTTATTCTACAGCCTTGATGTCTGACTCATCCTCTAACAACAAGGAAAACCCTGCAAGAGCTGGGATTGTCAGTAGCTGGCACACAGTGGGTTTTAAACAAATATTTTTTCAGTGAATTTTCTGCATAGAACAACTGGAATAATAAAAATATTCTAGTAAAATATGTTAATAGGTTTCATATTGTCCCCATTTTTGTTTAATGTAATGCAGAATAGAACCAAAAACTGAAGAGTATGATTTGAGGATGTTCAACCTTACAACCCTCTGTGAAGTTTTCTACCTGAAAGAACCATGTTCTCTATGTATATTACATTGTAACCTGGAGAACACTCCCATCTAGAAGCTTCTGGGAACTTTTGTCCTGCTATGAGCTAGAGGACAGCCTAACCTCTTGACAGAAAGCAGAATCCAGAATAGCTTCCTCAGCACATGGATGACAGAACCTGTAACTGGAGTTGAAGTAGAGTGCCTAGATCTACCTCCATAGCTCATTCCAAAATGACTCCTGAAGCCTTCTCACACCACTGCAGATGTCTTCAGAAATCGGGACCCAGTGACAAGGACCATCTTCATTCCACATTGCTGCCCTTCTTTGCATTTGACTTTATCTTTTGTGCTCCACAGTGCCTAAGGACCACAAGATACCAAAGTCTATGATTCTGAACTGGGGCTTTTCTGCTTGCTACATTTGTTTTTAGAAAGCTTGCTTGTCTGCAAAACTGTTTCCTTTTTCATGAAACGAGACTGATCATATTTGAACTCCCTAACTGAAAGATCATATTTGAACTCTCTAACTAGAAATATAATGGTCACAGGTAGATAAACTGGGAATGTTACCTGGAGCATTTTATTACCTGTTGGCATGGAATCTGAGCCCACATCACACTGACTTGTTAGTCTACAATGCAAGTTGCTTCTTAGCCCTGTTCACTAGATGAGGAAATTACAAAAGGTGAAGAGTAATTAATCAGTAGACTCACGCACACCATGTTGATAGGAACTCAGGCAATCTGGCTACAGAGAACACAATCTTAGATATTCTACTTTTTTGCCTCTTAGGGCAATGTAGGGGGAAATAAATAAAATTATTCATAGCCTATGTGATTAAGGACTGCTTTTTTTTTCTGTTTTTCTCAATAGTAACAAAGAGATGTTCAAATTCACCTCCCTGGATGTTCCACATGCTGCATTGGTGAACAGCATCTGGCATTTTGGTGGCAATGAGAGAAGCCAGAAGTTCATTGAGCGCTGTATCCACACCTTCCCCAGCTTCTGTATTATGGGGCCAGATGGGACCCCTGTGTCCTGGAGCCTGATGGACCACACTGGAGAACTGAGAATGGGAGGCACCTTGCCTCAGTACCGGAGCCAGGGTCTCATTTACCATATTGCTCGCCACCAGATTCACACTCTAGGAAATCTTGGCTTCCCCATGTATGCACATGTGGATAAATCTAACTTCACAATGCATAGAGTGTCTGCCATGCTGGTTCATGTCCGCATGCCCTGTGACTGGAATCAGTGGAACTATGTGCCTCTATAAGGCTGGGAAAGAATGGTGAGGGGACCATGCTTGTACATGGAGAAATGGCTGAGTGAACAGAGAGAAGTAATAAGTAGTCATTAGGTGGGGGAGGGGGTTCTAGAAAGCAGGGGTACATCATGAACTGCACATACTGTTTCTCTGTCTTCACAATGTTCATGCATGCAATTCTGTTTCCTCTTCATGCAAAAGGTAACATTCTCCTGTTCCAATTCTGTTACAGGGCCCACTTTCTCAGGATCCCTCTAACACAGTGGCCCTTAATCTTAACACTGTGACTCTTTAATACAGTACCTCATGTTGTGGAGATCCACAACTGTAAAATTATTTTTGTTGCTACTTCAAAACTATATTTTTGCTACTGTTATGAATCATAATGTATATATCTGAGTTTCCTGATGGTCTTAAGCGACCCCTGTGAAAGTGTCACTCAACTCCAAAATGAGTCACAATCCACAGGTTGAGAACACCTCTCTAATACATTTAGCTGAATTGTATTCTTTTCTGTTTTGCTTTGCTGGCTTTTGATCCGTGCCCATTAGCCAGTAGGCTTGTTTTGTGCCCTGCCCCACTACACACACACACACACACACACACACACACACACACACACACACACACACACACACACTCACTCACACACTCACACACACCTCCTCTGGATTTCTGTAGTTTTTCTTTTATTGGCTGAAGAAGTACCTTCTCATCTAAAAAGTTCTATTCAAAACCATTCTCCCCCAGGTCACTCCCTAGGTGTTATATTGTTAGTATGTAAAAACTACTACACATTCACACACAGATGCACAATGTGTGTGGTGCAGTAGTAAAATTGTTAGGAAAGAAACTGAGATCAGCAAGTACAGCTGCTGGCAGCCAAGCCTGGCAACCTAACTTTGATTTCTAGAACCCACATTGTGGAAAGAGAGAACCAATTCCATCAAGTTGTCCTCTGACCACTATAGCTATTCTGTGACATGTACATTCACAAATAAATAAATGTGACTTTTTAAAAAGACTAGTTTTGTGTATTTTTCAATGATTTTTTTTTACTGTTACTTCCCACACCAGGAAAGAGAAATCAGCATTGTTGGCTGAGATTTGTTCCTTCATTCTAATGTTTATATTTAATAAATCTCTTCTTTATGGAAGTTTAAGTGCTGGAAGGCAAAGCACTGTAGGGAGAGGAGGCAATAACAGCACTCAAATGTCTATTACATAGGAGAGGGGAAGAAGGAGAGGGGGACTGAGGAATAGGATGAGAAGCAAGACTGGGTGGCTGAGGAAAGGGGAGGAGAGAGGTGGGCAGAGAGAGAGAGGGAGAGATCTTAGGTTATAGAAAGACCCTTTCTTCAGTAGAGAAGATGAATGTTGTGTTTGCATTCCTATTAGCTTAGTTCAAACAAATTTTCCTGAACATGTGCCAGCAACAATCATCTAAAGAGTAGACACCCATCTCTGAGATCTTCTATCTAGCACTCAAAGCTTTTAGTTGCTAGTCCTGTGGCTCCAAGCAACTGTTTAAGTTGTTTTCCCCGCCTCAAGTTTCCTGGAAATGACAGAATATTTACTTTCTTTTTCAGTAATTCAACAATTTATTTCTCTAAAAAAGTGTGTAAAAGCTCTTACCCACAAGGTATATATGAATGACATTTAAAATGGAGGCCTTTATCATTGTTTCTTTTTATCACAGTCTTTAGTGTATTGAACCAGCACTGAGCTGTAGTTCTTGAACGAACATCACATATTTTTGCATTCTTTCTAATTACCTGGTATATACATAAGAAGCTTACTGCAAAAAATGCTTGAAGGAAAAAGGAAACAAACAAACAAACAAACAAACATAAAAGCAGAACTTCCCAGAAATGTACAGCTTTTATATTTAAAAGGCTCTGAAATACACATACAGGTATACCATCAAGCCCTCCCTGCTCCCCTCACAACTCCCCACTTCTAATTTCTGCAGAATTTCCAAAATTAAAAATTAAAATTAAAGTAACTTTACACTCTATAGGAAATCCAGGCTTTGTACATTTCAGATTAATTCTGTAAAAAAAAAGCACAAGTAAAATAATGCATATTCATGGGAAATATTATACAGACTTTTCACATAGAAGAACATAATAAAATTTTTAAATCTATTGTCATTCATTTATTTTTGCACAAAAAAGTGTATGTCACCAGCTTCTCTTAACTTAAAAAACTTAAACAAAAGACATAAGATGAATGCTGCCTTCTTTTAAAACTCTTTATAGTGTTTTTCTGTCTTTGTGTCTGTGTGTGTGTGTGTGTTTTCCTTTTTTTCTTTTTCTATGTAGAGTTGGGTTTCTAGAGAAGAAAAACCCTTTCAGTAAAAACAGCCTGTTTTAAAAAAGAGAGATTCAAAGTTCTGATGAATTCTGAGAAAAAGCAACCCCAAGTGATAAAAGATTACAAATACCTTCTTTACAGTCTGTCTTCACAGGAGCAATTATACAAGTTTACATCCCCATCATCTTACATTCTTCAAAAGGCATTGAGAGATTTCTCCCTAAAAAAGAAAAAAATAGCACTGTGGTATTTTAAGTCAAGTTTACACTGTACATATTAGATACAAATGGTTTAATAAGTCAGATTTTTAAGCTATGCATTGGAAAGTCAACCCCCCCCCAGTTGGTGGGACAGAGAACAATCACCAATTTACAAGTTATTTCTCTGTTTTCACCTTCCCACGTGTGTTATTTAATATAATGTTTTAAATGTTAGATTATCTCAAGAAAAATACTTTCACAAAATCATATCAATTATTACATTGTTTTCCTTTTTTTCTTTGTTAATAACCAGGACGTGAAAGTCTCTTGGAAAAACTTAGTTTGCAGGGCTCTCCCATGGAAACCAGGCTCAGTGACCATCAGGCAGCTCTGGGAAGCCTGTCCACTACCCTCAGACAGAAACATACGACAGAAGGGCTAGAAACAGGGCTTCAAAGTCAACCCTAAGGTCTGGGAGGGGGAGTCAAAAATACTTCAATGAGCTATTAATGCTTTAAATAGATATTATTTATTTATTTTTTATTTGTTTATGTTATATAACCAAGTCCATTTAAATGAAAACAAATATTTATAGACAATATTTTCAATATTTTCAATATTTTCTTAAATCTTACTAAATGTTAATGGACTAAATATTGTTAACTGTGATTCTTTTTTTTTTAGAATGTCTAAAAATTAAAAAGTGTATTTAAAATATCCTTGATGAGCCAATAGACATGGAGAGTATAATCACCAGCTAGTAAATTTCTCAAAGTATAAATACTAATACTAAAGTGAAAATTATACTTTAAGGCACAAATACTCAAAATAATATAAATGACATTAATACAATGCATAAAAATAAATATTCCAATCTACAAAATTGTAACCTAATGACTTTTTGTATATCATTTTCTCCTGATGTCTTACCATCAAATTTTTTTGCCATATAAATTTTTTTATTTTGTTTAATTTTTTATAACAAAGTCCAATTAAATGAAAACAAACATTTATACACAATATTTGGGAATTTGGGCGTCGTTCTTTCCAAACTACTTCCTGCTGGTAAGGGGCGCTGTCTTGGGGGATTCGAAGAAGATTCAGATATCCTGGCTGTAGTCTGTAGGACTGTTTTGTCCAGCTTTAACTGTGATTCTTATTGGATAACTGTTGTGCTATATATTTTGCTATGATAAGGTTAAAACCCTTCTTTTTATTTAGACAGAAAAGAGGAGATGATGGGAGATGTCATTCTGTATATGTAGTACAACTCAAAAGAAATTATAAAATATATTTCTACACCAAATTAGTTGAAGTCAAGAACTCACACTGTTTTGTCAATAGGATGGCAGACACCAAAGAATTGTCTTTCTTCCTGTTGGAGTCAGAGAACTTAGCTTTCAGACATAGCTAATCTGTGATGTGAATAACAGACATGTCCAAGCTTCTCTTTACAGTATAGGTGACACCATTCATTCTAGCTAATAGGGTAGAAAAATTTCTGTGCAGTGTATTATAAGTTCTTATAAAGATGAGTACTTTATAAAATTGAAAATTTTGGACTGGGAATTCACTTGCCTAGTGTGAATAGTGTCTTCAGTGACTCAGGAACCACAAAAAATAAACTAAAAACTGAGAAATCTTTTGTGAATGAATTAGAAGGCATGTAATTCAGAGACTTATTAGAATTCTTGAAAGAGTTTTGAAAATTCAAAAGTCTTTCGGTGACACTGTTTTCTAGGTTAAAATAAAGTTTTTTGTTATTTTTGTTTTTTGTGAAACAGGGTCTTACTATGTGGACCTTGAGCTCTGAGAGGTCCACCTGTCTCTGCCTTTCAAGTGTTAGGATAAAAGGACTGGTCTACCATGCCTGTCTAACACAGTTTTAAAATGAATAAACTAAACAATAAGAAGTTGTACAGAAGTGATTGGCCATTTACCTAAGTTCTGCAGAAAGTGAGTTGGGTTTTTTTTTTGGCCAGGTTGCAAAAGATAGTCCAAAAGGATACCTCCACCATGCCAGCAGAGGGCAGCAGTCATAGCCAAGTCCTATAGCAGGAGTGGCTGTCTCCTGGAATAAATTCCAAGTGACTTTAGTCTAAATAGTTCTTAGTTCTTCTATTATAGCTTAATCTTTGGGAAAATATGACCTCAAGACACATTGGTGGCTCCATCAGGTGAAAAAGAGAAAATGGCCTAGAAGAGGGGCTACCTCCCCAAATAAGGGTCTTAAAGTAGAGTCTGCAAGAAATAAATCTATCTTTCCTTCCTTGTGTTTCAGGGATCACTATTGAGGACTGCAAATACACAAGGAATGCAAATGAGGGTGGGGTTTTTTTAATCATAAATCACTGTTTTCAGAGTAGAAAATAACAAGCAGAAATTTTAACTAGAAATTCTTGAAATTGTAATTCAGTGTCAGTGTTCCCCACTTGTACCCATCAAACTTCCTTATTCTCAGTGAGAACTGTATAGAGATAATTACCAAATACACTAAGAAATGAATGAATCAAAATAAAGTAAAATA